AGATGTAGACTTCCTGGTTGGGGTCCTCCAGACGGTAAAAACCAATGAAGGCTGGAAACAATTGGTGATATGGCTCAAAGTCGTTCCATTCCTTGTGACTTATGATTTCAAATGAAACTATATCGTTCTTCGTTACTACTATTCCTTTGTCTCACCTCTGTTTACTGTTTCTAATATGCATTTCTTCTACTTCTCTTGCTTTGTGTGCTACGTGGATGGTGGCGACTTGAAATGCCGCACTTAGGTGCTAAGTTCTATGTCGAAAACAGACAAACAGGTAGCCTAAGAAAGTGACAACATTGTGTGTATGTAAATTTGGGTCCGTGATTGGTGATTTATTCAAATACAGTATCTATTCGTTACCGTAATATATATATATATATATATATATATATATATATATATATATATATATATATATATATATATATATATATATTGAAATCATAATAAGTGCAGTATTACTTTAAGAAGTTCAGTGTACTTTCTACTCCTAAGTTTATTTGACTGTGGGTTAAACGCTGATTGACTGTCTGTCTGTCTGGATTCAACATAGAACTTGACACCGAAGTGCAGAACTTTGAGTTGTCACGTTCCAAATAGCACACAAAGGTAGACAAGAAGATGAGTGAAGAGAATCAATAGAGTTTGACAAGTATAAGAGTGAAACAGAATGGGTAATGGTAGAAAGGAATATGAAAGATTACGGAGACTGAATACATCTGCGCCATTGACAACGATTTTGAGCCATGTCACCTATTGTCTCCAGCCATTGATTCCTAGAGTCAGTCCCGAGGGCCCCAACCCGGAAGTCTGCATCTCTCTACCTGACTCAGTTTAACTGTCAAAGATTTCATGGATTGATGAGGCCATGTTTTTGTTTGGCCACCACTTACTCTTTTCCAACCTGCACTTATATCAGCTAGTAATGCCCGTTGGGGGATGCGATGGTTAGGCATGCGCAGCACGTGACCTAGCCATCTCAGTCTATGTAACTTTATAGCCTCGTCGATTGATTTTCCCTCTTTGCCCAACACTCTACACGCCTAATGTCAACATTACTTACCTTATTAAACCACCTAATGTGAGAAAGAGATCGCAGACATCTATGATCGAAAGCAGTCAACCTTTTCATGTCTTCAACTCGTATTGGCCATGTTTCAGAGCCATAGAGAAGGACGGAGCGAACTGCTGAGCAGTGCACACGTCCCTTGGTTGATAGCCGGATGTCACGCCTACGCCAGAGATGGTGTAAGTCAGCGAAAGCAGCTCGAGCTTTTTGGATCCGTGCTGAGATTTCATCGCCAATCAGTCCATTGGTGCTAATACAACTTCCCAAATAGGTGAAGTGGTCAACATGTTATATCACTTCACTCCCTATCACTAAGTTAGGAGTTGACGTGGTCCAGTCCTGTAGCAGCATCTTACATTTTGCAGGGGCGAATCGCATGCCAAACATACGAAGATTGCTGCTCAAGGTGTTCAGAAGACTCTGCATTTTGTCAGCATCCTCCCCCAACAGGACTATGTCATCTGCATATTCTAAGTCCATAAGACTATTCCCTGGTAACAAGTCGATTCCTAAGTCGTTACGTTCAGTTAAGGATACTTCTATCAGCATATCTATGATGAAGTTAAACAGAAATGGGGAGAGTGGACATCCCTGTCGGACACCACTGGTTGTTACCGATTCAGATGACAATTCCCCATAAGCCCTTACACGACTACGTGAGTTTGAATAGAGTGCCTTGATTAGTGCAACGTACTTTCTTGGAACTCCCTTCACAGTCAAACATTGCATTAGTACCTTTCGATTCATGGAGTCAAAGGCCGCCTTCAAGTCAAGAAATATGACAATTGTTGGACGCCGAAAAGTGTGTCTATGTTCTAGAATCTGTCGAAGAGTGAAGATATGATCTATGCACCCTCTACCTGGTCTAAAGCCTGCTTGATTTTCCTTCGTCTGTTCCTCCCGAGTTCTGCTTAGTCTGTGCATGATTACTGAGCCTAGGATTTTAGAGACTATGTTCGTTAGACTGATCCCCCTATGATTATCACACGAGGACTTGTTTCCCTTCTTGAATATCGGTATAATAAGTGACTTACCCCAGTCTGATGGGACTGTCTCTGATTCCCAGACTGCCTAGTACCTCAGTTAATCTGATTGACTGACTACTTTCATCATAGAACTTTGCACAAAAGTGCAGCAGTTCGAGTTGTTTCACTCCATACACCACATAATGGAAGGCACAAAAGAAAAAAGTGGATTCGGAAGAACGATAATAAGAAGAAACGTGAGGGAGAAGGAATATTGACACGAATCTGACAGATTACAGACAGTGACTGCATATGCACCAGTTAGAACGATTCCGAGCCATATCACCATTTGTCTCAGCCATTGGTTCTTAGAATCCTGAGGCACCCAACCAGAAAGTCTACACTTACCTACGTGTCTAGCTTAAACTACTTGTCAAAGATTTCTTGGACTGATTGCAAGTTTTGGTCTGACCATCACTTGCTCTTTTCCAACCTGATCAGTCGTATATCAGCTAACATTTCGCGTCGAGGAAGGCGATGTCTAGGGATGCATGCGTAACACATATCCTAGCCATTTTAATCAATAGAGCTCCACAAACGCATCGATGGACTTTTCCTCTTTCCCTAAAACTCGACACCTAGGCTCATTATTACTCATCCTAACACGGGAGATAGAATACAGAAACATCTATGGTCAAAGACAACTAGCCTTTTCATTTCTTCCACTTTCATCGAATGGCTTTACCTAACATCCATAGTGGAGTGTAGAGCAAACTGATGTGTAGTACATACGTAGTTTGGAAGATAGTCGGATATCACTTTTACACCAGAGATGGTGGAAGTTGGCAAATGCCACAAGGGCCTTTTGTATCCGTGCTGAGATTTCGCCAAAAATCAGCTTGTTGAAGCTTAACATTATCTCAGTTAGGTGGATGCATGTAACACACAACCATTAGGTCGCATCCCGTTGGCTGATCGAACAACAGAAGTCCCGATAAAACCACCAGAGCATGTGATAGACCGACAGACAGACTAGTTACACACCAAGGTTCAACTCAGTAAAATAATAAATTCGTATTTTGAGTCTAGTGGACATAACTCTCTCCTGTTATTGGAGCGCCTACTTTAACGCCGTTATAACTTGAGATGAGGTTATACTCCCTACTTTTCAAATTTTATTGTTTTTCTAAAAAACTTTGCTTCTAACATTCTCATTCTTAATTCTCTAAATGTTCCCATTTTTAATATTAGAACAAGACATATAAGCGAACAATATTATTGTTTTCAATTAGATCTCCTTCAGGCTTTACTCTAAATTACATAGCTTTATATATAAAAATTTTTAACTAATGACGGTGATTTTGTGGATCAAATAATAATAATGTGGTAAATGTTTTGAACGTCATTAATAATTATCATTATAATAATAACAAAAAATTTAATAATAAGGTTTATGCAGGTGGCGATAAGAATAACAAAGGTATTGATATGTGTATATGTAGACAATTCAATAAATAAATAAATTAGGTCAAATCTTAGGAGTTACATAATACTATAGGTAGGTGTAGTGGACAGGTAATCAGAGTTTAAGTAAATATCATAAAAGTAAGAAGGAGATGGAGAGTAAAAAAAGGGTGGGAGGACAATATACACATTTCCTCAGTTTTGTACCAATCCGATACAAAGTCAATTTGGTCAGATGCCTCATGAATAGAGCAAGACGTATCTGTACGGATGACTCCCTAGAAAATGAGTTAGGATACCTCCGAAATACGCTGGTCCAAATGGGTTATCCCAGTAGATTTGTAAGGAGACACATGAATACCAAGTACAATAAAGAGAAACTGACGATAGTTGAAAAGAAACAACTGTTTATGAAATTGCAATTTAATGGGTAAGTGGCTAGCGAAGTCTCACATCTGCGATTATCGAGAGCGATAAAACGGACTTATACTGGCGCCACCCTCTGTTTGTCATTTTCCAGCCGACCAATTTTGCTTGCTCAAGTGAAAGATAAGCTACCTAGCTAGCTAGCTGTGCCACTTCTATGTGTATCTATAAATTTAGTTGCTCCTGTGGAGAGAGCTATATAGGGTGAACAACTAGACAGCTTAACAAACGCATTAATGACCATCTTGCTTCATGGTTCGGAAAAGGGCAAATAAAATCCATACGAAGTTCTGCTTTGGCTCATTTGATCGATAGCGGTCACCAAGTGGACAAAAATAGTGCCGCCTTCAAAGTTATCTATGGTATTCCATCGAGCCTTTCGAACCCCTCTTTTACACATAGCCGAAGCTAAGGGGATTCAAGAGAACAATCCTAGTCTTTGCATACAAAAGAAGTTTGCTCTACCTTTGTCTCTCCCTTGCTTAGCCTAGGTGAATTCTATTCAAAACCCTCCCACCCTCTCTTATCTTTCATCTCCTTCTTACTTTTATGATATTTACTTAAACTCTGATTACCTGTCCACTACACCTACCTATAGTATTACGTAATTCCTAAGATTTGACCTAATTTATTTATTTATTGAATTGTCTACATATACACATATCAATACCTTTGTTATTCTTATCGCCACCTGCATAAACCTTATTATTAAATTTTTTGTTATTATTATAATGATAATTATTAATGACGTTCAAAACATTTACCACATTATTATTATTTGATCCACAAAATCACCGTCATTAGTTAAAAATTTTTATATATAAAGCTATGTAATTTAGAGTAAAGCCTGAAGGAGATCTAATTGAAAACAATAATATTGTTCGCTTATATATGTCTTGTTCATGTCTAATTTTGTATCAGCATGTAAATATAAAGTATGATATATATATATATATATATATATATATATAAATAAATATTCGTTACTGTGATTTCGCTGGCCCTGACGCATAGTGAATAACAACTCATCCTGGTTTATACAACTCTATTAAGATAGTTTGATTAATTTTTAGAATCAATCAGTCAATCAATAAATCATCTAAATGGCTTACAGAGAAGTACTTCACTCATCTTCTGAAAATGATTCAAGCAGTGATACTGATGAAGATGAAATTTGTTGGAAACGCAGGAAATCAGATGTTCGACCTTCACCAATGGAAAAAGATTACACAGATGAAAATACCTTGAATAAACCTGTAAAAAAACGTCCTATATGGTTAAATTTTGCCAACGAAATGCTCTTAAAAGATGCCTTAACATCAACTCATCTATTTGAAGTAAGTTAAAGTAGTAAAATATAATAATTTTCTTGCAGACACTTGATAGAGGCAGAGGTGTTGAAAGTTATTTACCTAAAGAAGATTCTAGTGATGATGAAGAAGGCAGTCCTGATGAACGAGTCAGTCGGCGAAAATTACCTATAAGGTTGGTTGGGAATAAGAGTACATAATAAACGTTTATATATGGTGGTGGTGTTTTTTTAGAGGGTCAACAAAGTCTACAGTGCTCTCTCTTAGACAACAACTTGGTCCACTTTCATGGGATCAGTCAGTATGCCGATCTCATATAGATGTCAACTTTGACAGTCCACCTGATCGTGTTGCAGAAACAATTATCAGAGCATTGAATGAACCTAATGAAGATTTAATACGTGAGTTTATTTTCTTTTATCCGAATGAATCATTTCAATGCCTATATAGGACGAACAGTAAATATTCTTGGTGTTCAACGAGCACTTGAATTTTATTATCTTACTGAAGACATTGAAAACAGTGGAGGTCTTTATTTAGTGGTAAGTTTGCATGTGTTAACAGTTTTGTTTTTTTTAAAAAAAATCTGCATGATGCTTTTTTCTTCATACAATTCAGTCACATAATAAAAAATTTCTGCTTTACTGTGGCAGTACAAGGATATTTCTCAAGTGTTTGTCTACTGGAATTTGATTACTTTTGAAGTTTGATCATGAGCTGACATCAGTTAGAGGGAGAGAGCCATTGAAAACCAGAGAGTGTTGGGCAACTTTTTCGTCCTAGTTCGAGACTCTTCATCGGTTTGCACCCACGGAGACACCAGGGATCGAATTCAGGGCCTTCAGTCACTGGAGTAGAATCCAATCAATAATCCATCAGTTCTATCATCTGCCAATGAACGATATATATATAGTGACCATCATTCCATCTCCAGCCATTGAAGGAGGCGACAATTCATTCTCACACCCAACTTGGCGCACTCCCCTTTGTCAGGATTTCTCACTTTATCCTGTATTCAATCAATCAATCACTAGTGAGCACTAGATCAATTTTCAAGTGTTTGTTGTCAGGGCTTTGATTATTTTCAACAACATTGACCACAAAAATAATATGTGTAAAATTTCAGCGCTGTGGTTTTATGTAATTCCACATTAATTTATCGATTAGATGTATCAGACAGTGAAACAGTATTATTTACACCAGATAATGAAGTTTTGAACACATTTTATATTACTGTTCATAATCATATCATCAATGCTAACTACATGACTTCGAAACTTCCGTTTCATGGTTTTCTTTATTCCTTCCTATTCGTCGTACAGGTGGCAGAATTTTCCAGATATTCGGGTGGAACAGGTGTTGAATCATTTCTATTGTGAGTATTCTCAGTTGACTAATTAAACAGAGCTTTTGTTATCAATCTCTCCTTCCATCCTGTTATATCAAATTTTAAGACTGTCGTCGTATCCCATCCTTGTGTATGTTCGTGTAACAGCTATAAGTGAGCTAGGAAAATGATAAAATAAAATAAATAATAATGGTAGTAATAATAATCATAATAATAGTAATATTAATGACGACATGCTTGTCAAAAATGCTCAGGATAATGACAACACCAAGAATAGGGAATATAAAGCATCAGCAGTACTTGCATACAAAAAAGGAACTTCAGAAACCTTAAGTAGAACTCCTAATGATGCAGGAATAAAAGTGGCTCGCATTTAAACCCACAAACTCAATTAGAAACAAGCTTTGTTGGTTAAAGGATCCTGCCAGTGGAGCCAATGAAACAAAACAATTTAGTTTATCTTATATCCTGCTGAAATGATTATCAGGTTAAATAAATAGGTCGAAGCAGTAGGACACAGGATCAGTCACACTAGTGGAGCACAAAAACCTGGAAGCAAAATCCAGATTAGTTGACCCAAATAAGATGAGAAATATGGAGAATAGTTCAACTATACCGCTCACTACATGCAATTAGACACAAACATACAATAGGATGGGAAAAGATGACAGTTCTCAAATCTAACATAACAGGGTGTAAGGAAAGATTGATAACGGACCCTTCATTTATCGAATCAACTGAAAATACTACTTGCAGTAGAAATGATTCGACAGCTATCCACCCGAACATCTGGAGAATTCTACCACCTGTACGACGAACAGGAAGAAATAAAGAAAAACAGGAAATGGAAGTTTCCCAATGGTGTCGTGGTGAGAATTGTCTGCTAGCCAAAATTGGTAGACAGCAATTTACGTCAATGTGTACGTCGTCATGAGAGAAAAAAAAGAACAAAGACTAACTCAACAAACAATCACAGCAGATTCATATGAACTGTGATCAAGATTTGACCGGATAGTTGCAAAATAATTGAGCGTCGAGTGAAAAGTAGACATTTTTAAAATTATATTTGTAAAATCTCAGCGAAATTGAAATGATTAATTCCAACTTTTCGTTCGGCAATCTGGTCCGAACTAATTCAGGGGAATTAATCACAGCAGATTTAGTGTGGGCGAATACGATTCGCAGATATATCACCGGACTGTATAAGAAACGGCAACAATGAGATGACTGCATAACCATCAGGAAAACAACCAATCAGAAGACGCTAATAATAATAACGAATAATAATGTACATAAAATCTATAAATATCTGTTGATTTTCTCAGTAAACGATCTGTTGCTTGACTCTTGTCTTCTGTCATTACAGTGTAGTTAGGTTTGATGATATGATTATAAACAGTAATATGAAATGTGTTCTAAACTTCATCATCTAGTGTAAATAATACTGTTTCACTGTGTGATACATATAATAGATGAATTCGATGATATTAGATGGTTGGAGGCAAACAGAAGGAATCCGAGCGATGCTGGGGACATCACTCGTACCAAATTCCCAAGAAACTTCATGAACTCTCCTACAAACAACTCTCACCATGCTACGGCGTTCCCGGTAAGCGACGCGCCCTGTGCTCACCCGGTGGCCAGTGTGAAAAGTAAGCTAGCTGGGAAATTAACACTTAGAAACCAACTATTTGTTGGCTGCTGGAATGTTAGGACGCTGTTGGATCCTGGTAGCCAGTCTATCACCATGCGTTCTTTATATGACTACAAGGTAGACATAGCGTGTCTATCTGAAGTGAGGTTACCCGATCATGGCTCCCGCCGAATAGCCGTTCCTGGAACAGATTCTTCATTCTGGTTGCTTCATAGTGGCCCCCAGAATAATTCGGGACAACATGGGGTAGCATTTGCTCTCAGTAACAAAGCCAATAATGCCCTAATATCATTCGAACCGGTCAACTCCAGAGTTGCAGTCGCTAGGTTCAAGGGTTCCCCGCTCGACATTTCTGTTCTCGCTGTCTATGCCCCAACCCTCGACTCTGATGAAAGTATCAAAGACGAATTTTATGACAATCTTCAAGAGGCAATCAACAAAATCCCAAAGCGTGACGTTCTCATAGTAGCCGGCGATTGGAACGCCCGCACTGGCCCTTCAGACGACGCGACAAAACATATACTAGGCAAACACGGTCTCGATCAGCGCTGCCGTAATGGTGATAGACTTTTATCTTTTTCTGATTACAATCGATTATATATCACCAACACTCGATTTCAACACCCCAGAAAACATCTTCTCACCTGGTATTCGAACGACGGTCGCACTGCACATCAGATCGACTACATCCTAGTGCGCTCACGCTGGATCTCCTCGGTGGAAGACTGTCGATCCTATCGTGGAGCAGAGGCCGGAAATAAAGGGGGATCAGACCATACTCTAGTTAGGGCGAAATTCAAACTTCGTTTAACGACACGCCAGAAGACGCGACCTCCGAAGCGTATCAATGTTGCCCCGCTTCAATGTTCTACAAGACGACAAGCCTTGTCCAAACAAATCCAGGCCGAACTAAGCGCCGCAGATGAACCAACATCCACATCTTCTAATACACCCGAGACACGATGGAATCATTTCAAAGAAGTAGTCTCTAAAGCTTCAATGACGCATTTGGGTACCACATCCAAGAAGCAGAAAGACTGGATTTCAGAGCACACCATGCTTCTATCCTCGCAAGCCAGAGACGCTCGCCTAGCAAAGTCTCCAGTTTATCGCTCCCTCAGGCGCAAAGCTACACAGTCTGCTAGGAACGACAGAAATCGCTATTGGTCTAACGTGGCGACTAACATGGAAGCAGCAACAAATGTAGGCGATTTCGGAAAACTTTATCGCCTCTTACGCCAATCATCTGGCAAACGCCTTAACAGTCATGCTGTGTTACGCACAGCATCAGGAGAAATTATTTCGGACACCAATGGTAAGATGGAACGATGGGCCGAATACTTCAAGCAGCTACTCAATCGCGACGCTGGTCAACCGTCTCATCGACCGATACGACACTTACCAACACCCTACGTAGTTGACTGCGATCCACCCACTCCAACCGAAATAGCTAAAACAATTAACACACTCAGAAACAAAAAAGCTCCGGGCGAAGATGGTCTACCCCCAGAAATATACAAGGCCTGCACTCCAGCGCTAATCGATGCACTGCACTCGCTGTTCTGCTCAATTTGGGAGTCCGAAACCATTCCTTCCGATTGGAGCACCTCAGTTCTGCTACCGTTCCACAAAAAGGGAGACAGGTCAATATGCGAGAACTACCGAGGCATAAGTCTGATTGATATCGCTGCTAAGGTTTTTGTTTCCATTCTCCTGAACCGCTTCGCGGCCGAACGCCACGTGCGAACAAGGCCAAATCAAGCCGGATTTCGACCTGGAAGAGGCTGTGTTGATCAATTATTCACACTGCGAAGAATTTTGGAACACAGGGACAAATTCCAACAGCCGACGGTTGCCTGCTTCATCGACTTCCAAGCGGCATTCGACTCAGTTGATCGAGGAGCACTCTGGTATCTAATGGAGCTCGACGGAGTTCCGACCAAGCTAATCAACCTGCTCAGGTCATACTACTCCAACACCAAAGCTCGAGTCCGAGTGAACGGTGAAGAGTCCCGCACTTTTGAGGTAACCAGCGGTGTCCGGCAAGGTTGTCCAGCATCCCCCATCCTGTTCAATTTCACAGTTGATTGGATTTTGCGGCACGCCCTAACCGAGCACCACGGCGTCCAACTTTCGCCCGATATTCACATAACCGACCTCGAATTCGCCGACGACGTCGTGCTGTTAGCTGAAAACTTCCCCGATATGCAACAGGCGCTCGACCAGATAAACCACCTCGCGTCTACTATCGGTTTGAAAATTAACACTTCCAAAACCAAAATGTTTTCGAACACATCCACCGGCAATGATGAAATCTTATCCTTAAATGGAGCACCTATTGAAATTGTGCCATCCTTCAGATATCTGGGATCCATAATGCTCCCCAACGGCCAAGCGAAAAACGAAGTGAATGCGCGAATCTCCAACGCCCGGAATGCGTTTCTACAGCTGAGGAGCGTTCTATGGAGCAAGAGAGAAATCAGTCTCAGGACTAAAATTCGGATCTACCAAGCTTCCATACGACCCGTTCTGCTGTATGG